ACGTGCCCTAGCTGCCCACATTTATGACACGTTGCATCTGGTCTCCACCAGCACCTTTTTTGTGGATGATTGGTTTTCTTCCAGGTCTAGTATCATTGTTCTGCTTCTTCTTGTGTTTGGTTACCATTGCTCTGGAATTTGACTTGAAAAGCACCCCACCACAGATCCTTTGCCTCATAGTTCTTTGTTCTTAGGCCTGTAAGGCATGTAGCACCTCTGCCAAAGTGATCTTAGATAGATCCTTTGTGTTCTCCAAGGTAACTATAGAAACTTCATATCTTTTTGGTACTGAGACAAGAATTTTTTTCAACAATTCTTGAATCAGAAAAAGCGTTGCCCAGCAATCTTACTTTTGCAATGCCAAGCAACGTATTTGAGTACTCTTTGTTGGTGTCAGATTCTTTCATTCGTTGCAGCTCAAAATTCTCTCATTAAATTCAATACTTGCATGCTTCTAATTCTCTCATTCTCCTACATATTCTCCCTTCAAGTAATCCCAAATTGCTTTATTCTGTTGTGAGACATATCTGGTGAAAATTAGTTTTGAAACACTAGAAAACAGATATGCCTTTGCCTTTGCTTTCCTGGTCTTTTTTTCTTTGTAGTTTTGCATCTGGGCTATACTGGGGTTGTCGGGTAGCGGAGCAATATCGTAATCCTCCTCCGGTTCCCAAAGATCCAAAGACTCTAGGAAGTTCTGCATTTTTATGGCCCAGAGATCATATCTATCTCTATCAAAGATAGGAGGAGCAACTTGGAGAGAAACTTGTTTCACATTCATTTTCAGGTCCGTAAGATGTAGCTCTTGATACCAATTTGTAGGTTATTTTATTAAAAAAAAATTGAGAGAGTGGAACAGAAGAATATAAACTGTATAGATATCTTTTATTGAGGAGTGTTATCGCTTTTATGAAGCAAATAACTGAACATAAATGCATTAAAATATTAGCATCTACAACCACTAATAGACTAGTGCTCCTAGTGCCTAGAAAATAGCAAATAAATCCTACCAGTTAACATGACTTTTATTTTCCTAAAAAATAGCATAACATTATTTTAATTTGTTAATTTTCAATAGTCATCAATCAATAATGATACTCCCTTTTCTCTATCCTTTTCCAGGATGAAGTGATTGAATTGTATAATCTTTAAAAACATAAAGATTTCTCATATATATATATATATATATATATATATATATATATACATATTTGTATGTATGTATATATATTACATAGTGTATGTATGGCTATATATACATTATGTATGTAGTATATAATCATACATACATATGTAATATATACTAATACATATGTCTATAATATACATATGTATGTATGTATATATATACATAGTATGTATGTTATATATACATATGTAGTATGATTATATATACATTGTATGTATGTATTTATTATTATACATATGTATGTATGTTATACATATATGACTATATATATATATATATATATATATATATATAAAGGTTTGCAAATTTACTAAGGGCTTTTTTTATAGGTACATTTTAGAAAGTGTTAAAGTTTTAATGGTTAAAAAAAATTCATCATTAAAAAAACATTACTTTAAATCAAGGGTATTTTAATAATTTTAATAATTTAATTAATAAAATAAAAGTTGTTATTTACAATCACGTGACTTAGTAACTTACCTTTTTTTATTTTTTATTTTAAAAACAACTATCTTTTATTTTATTTTTTATTTTGAAAAACAACTACCTTTTAAAAAATATATAATAAAAGGTAATAACTACTAATACACGTGACATCAATCATGGATAATAAATAACTACGTGGCAGCAATCATGGATCATATGGTTTAGGGTAGGAATGGCAAAAAAATCCGCGCTCGCGGATATCCGTGGACAAAATTCGCGACGGATAGTTAATACGCGCGGATATTTACTATCCGCAACCCACGGGTAGTGGATATTTTAATATCCGCTTATAAACGGGTCGGGTGCGGGTATTATACTATCCGTACCCGCGGATTACCCGCCCTACAAAAAATAAAATAAAAATTAATTTTTTTTTATTAAAGTTAAATTTAATTAAAATTAACATTAATTTATATTTTACAAGATTAAATTTAATTAAAATTGAATTTAAATTTATATTTAATTTAATTTATATTACATTTTATATATTTTTTGTAATTCTATTTAAATTTTATTTTAATAATTTATTAAAATATTTGTTTTTTTTTAATATTTGCGGGTATCCGTGGATATTCGCGGGTTTTAAAATACACGTGGATATTTTTTAAGCGGGTATCCGTGCGGGTAGCGGGTTGAGTAGCGGGTGGATTTTTTTTTGTCGGGTCAGGTTGCGGGTAGGCACTATCCGTGCCTGACCCGACCCGTTGCCATCCCTAGTTTAGGGTTTAAGTTTTAGGGTTTAGGGTTTATGGTTTATGGTTTATGGTTTATGGTTTACGGTTCAGGGTTTAGGGTTAAGGGTTTATGGTTTAGGGTTTAAAGTTTAGGGTTTAGGGTTTAAGGTTTATGGTTTAGGGTTTAAGGTTTAGGATATTTTTTAAAATAAAAAATAAAAGGTAGTTATTAAGTCATGGATTGTAAATAACTAACTTTTATTTTAAATTAAATATTAAAATTATTCAAATATCCTTGGATTTAAAGTATGTTTTTTTTGAATGAGAATTTTTTTATCCATTAAAACTTTATACACTTTACTAAAATGTACCAACTAAAAAAAGACCTTATGTAAATTAGCAAACCTTTTATATATATATATATATATATAATAACTTTTGGGCTTAATGTGTGTATGTGTATTATGAAACAAAAGGTAAAAGAAGCATGGTAATGTCAATATGTATACATATAGTTATTGGCACATTCATTTAAAGAAGGGAATTTAAATTGTTAAAACTAAAAAATATTTGGTCCACCATTAATTTATGCTCGAAATTTTCAATGGTAAAAGCCAGTTGGGTAGAAAGACAAATTGAATAAAAATATTTAAAAATAAAAATTCATAAATGAGATGACTTGTCTTATGTTAGCAGTGTAGACCCATTTCCATCATGCATGTTCAGGTGATAAAAGGATTAAAAGTTATACTATTGTGTTATTCCATAATGCAATTAAAAAACCCAATTAACACAATATTTAATACTAAAGTGGCATAATTGTACTAAGGGGTGTGTGTATTAAAAAGGCTTAATGCCCAATTTGGAATGTTGTTGAGCCCAAATTCCACTGGGTTGCGCTTTTCATCTTGATGTTTGTGGGCCTATATGCATTTTTTCTGGGTCCCCTTCTTGTGGGCCCTCCATCGCCTTCTTTCATTATCGACTTAATTAATGTGAGTTGATTGTTAAAGATATATTTGGAAAACAAAACCATGAAAAAGTTACAGAATTTAATAAGAGAAAATTGAAGATATTGTCTGCCATAATTATAATAAAGTATCCAAAAACTCTGACATAAATTAATATTTTTAAATAGAGTATATTAAGTCAATAAAACAGTCCTCTATTATTACTCTTGAATTTATGGTACAGCAATAATTTATCACTTTTCATGTTAGAGACCAGTTTCTCATCTCTGTGAGAAATTTCTGAGTTTGAAACTCAAAACTCTAAAGTTTCATTGTCTTATATACGAATAATTATTGTGTAATAATTCATGAACAATTTACATTTTCAGTAACATTTTTCAAAAAAGTTTTACTTGCTAGATAAAGAAATCATTTTATTTTTTTAATATTATTTTTTGTATTTAATACAAATAAAAGTATAAATTAAAAGAAATTGTTTTTTAAAATCAAATTTAACTGCATGTTAATCTCTTCATTATATAATTAATGTATGGTTTACATCTTTCTATAACTTTATGAGCAAATTTGACTTTACATGTTTTAGTTCATACGATTAAGTCTTCACATTACTTGTTTTACTTTAAATTTTATATTATTATTTTTAACTCGACCATTTTTTTAAGAATTGAGTCAAATTAAATGCTTTCAAATCTCTTTTTTTTTTCCAGCAATTGAAAACTAAATCATAATTACTTTTTTTTATCACTGAGAACTCTTATTAAATTTTAAAAAATTATCCGTTTGATTTTAAAATTGACAAACTAATATATTTTATAAAACGGGAAAGACGAAATTTGGTCAGGCTAAGATGAAAATGTTGTTACATGAATTCCTAAAACTAAAAAAATATCAAAAGTTCTTATATTTTTTATTGTCTAAATATAGGTTGATATTATCAGTAAACACACAGAATTTTTAGTTTTAAATCAATATATATTTGTTTTAATAAACATTATAAACTTTTTAAAATATGGCATAATTTTGTAATTTCAAAGATAAAACTCACTTATTTCTCCTAAAAATTAGTTGAAGCGAGAAAGAGAGAATTTTGATTTACAAAAGCAAAGTGCGAGAAATGTGAAGTTTTGATAATTTGAAAATGTGAGAAAATTTATGAAAGATATGAAAGATTAAAGAGAAAAATGTTGACCATGGAAACAATTCCGTAAGAAGGAAAAATCATTAATTAAAAAACTTAGCTTTATTAGTTATGGTAAAAAAAGATGTTAGTGTAGCTAAGGCAACACGGATATTTAGCCATTAACATCTCTTTTATCAGTTGCTGCCATGCCTACATATCTACATATCTACATACCTACATTCCTACCCTCTTCTCTCACCGCTTAAAAGCTTTCATCTTCAAAACACACTGTCATCATCACTCTTCATTCCTAACTCCAACCCTTTTACTATTTCAATTCTACTATAAAAACGTATCCAGATCTCCAACACTAACATGCCTAATTACACTATTCCCACCATCTCTCCTGTAATAAACAGCTTCACAATACCACCTAAATAATGCTATAAAAATTGAATTACATAAAAAAAAATATACTGCTACCATGTTATTAGCATTTAGTATATGATGTTAGTAATATAAAGGAAGGTTTTAAATACAGTTTAAAAGAGTTTGAGAAGTAAAAAAGTTACTTAGAAGAAAGAACAGTGTTAGTTACTGTGACAGTGAGAATGACAATGACTAGGTTTTAACCCTTTGGTTTTGGGTTGGAAGCATAATAACCTCTCCCCACAAACGATGTACCAACGTTCTTGTCGGGACAAACACCATACGACCCACCTTTTGTTCCTCCGCTTCCATCCATGGCAGACTACGAAACCAGCCACAACCACAACCACCACCACAGCAACCACCACCAGCAACCGGTGTCTAAAGAAACAGCGTTTCAGGCGCTGAACACCATAATCCAGCTTCACTTCGAGAAGACCCTGGAGAAGAAACGGGCCATAGACCTTCAGAAGAAGGAGCTTCACAAGCTCTTTCAGATTTTCTTCATCTTCCTCGCTCTCCTCTTCCTCGCCCAGTCCCAGTCCTCGCGCCTCCAATGCCGTCACTGCTGGATCCCCATCACGCTGCTCTCCATCGCCCACCTCATCTTCTACGTCTCCGTCGCCCAGACCCTCCGCTGCATCAACGGCTTCAAGTACCAGCGCCGCTGCCACAAGCTCACTCTCGGCCTCGCCACCGAGAAGCTCCGGGAGATCAAGATCAGGCTCGGCGCCGCCAACGGTGGTGACTACGATGGTGTTGCCGATGAGGAGTTCGAGATTCACTACCAGGAACCCCCCGAGAGCTACTTCGGAAAGTTTAAGAGGAATTGGGCACTTCATTTTGGTTTCTTAATCTTGATCTACGCTTTTATGATCTCTTCCTCTGTCGTTCTTTTGTGTTTTTAATCAAGGATGCTCTTTTATTAGTTTAGTGAGATTGACAGAGATGTGCCAAATTAATTATGGTTATGGGTATAGATTTTGTATGATTTGAATGATGGAATTGGTTTGTTTCCTCTCTCAAGTGTTAGTTCTGAAATCAAATCCATTCTCATTTCAATCTCTCTTCATTCCTTATGCATGTGTAACTCTTCTTGTTCTACTTTTATTTAGACCAACAGTCATTTTCTAATTACTGTACCTGTATCTTTATAGTAGCCTATGAGTATATTCTATTCTTATTCATGTATCTAGTGTTTGAAAAAAATGAAAAGAATGCATCTTTGAAAGTGTCAACCAAGATGGTGTTTGTGAAAAAGAGGGTCGAAGATATTGAATCAGCTTCTGTGAGGGTGAGAGCATAAGTCCACACAACGTAAACTCGTGTTTGAATTGAATTCAAACATGATCTACTTATGGATAGATTACATCATGAAAGGATCTATGGATGACAGGTCCAGGTCCAAGTATCTGCATAAATGCAAACTGGTTGCTTGTTGGGACCTCAAGTTTGAATATTACTTGGTCCATCATCCATCTCACAGTACAACCAAAGGAATGAACTTTACTCAAAAAATTAAGGCACGAATTGAGAATGGCTTTTTCTCCCAACAAGCGAAGAATTAGCCACGCAATGATGGAGTTGTAGGAGAGAGCAAAAAGGGACCCCCCCTTGTTGTCCTGATCCACTTTCTCAACAGCATCTTGCCATCTCTCTTTTGTTGCCTTCAAACACCATAGAAAATATCTTTTTTGTGCTTGTCGTTTGGCTAACTAGTGCAAGATAACCAGCAATGGACGATGCCATCTTTCTGTTTCCACTTTCTGCCGATTCTCCTTTTGAATTTTTATTTCTTGTAAGTAATGTTAAAAGAAACCACTTTATTTTAATGCTGTCCATCACTTCCTTTTCCGTAATGATACATTTTAGATAACGTTTAGTCAGTCTGTTGCGACTTCATTCATAAATTCTGTTCTGTATTTATTTCATCGAAAATAAAATATAATCTAACATTTAATCTAGGTTATTTATTTATATTATCAGTTAATTTAAATTTACTATAAATAAAGTTATTGCGAAAGTCTTAAACTGGTCCATACATAATAGTTCCCTATTAAAATACTTCTCGTTTCTTTTCATTTATCATTTTAAGGTTATTTTGCTCAAACATAGAAAAACAGAATAGCTCTGCAATTTCTTATTTTACCCTTTCCCCTCTACTTCTAAAACAACAAATATATAAATTATTCAAAAACTAGAAAATATATAAGAGTATAATAAAAAAATTATTAAATCTCTAAAAAGACAGGTGAAAAAGATCATCCTCTTCCAAGATTGAGACAAGAATAATGCAGCAGAGGAAGTAAGATTTAAAAAAGAAAACAAATACACATGAAACTGTAAGCCTGATGAAAGGAAAAAAAAAAAGAGAATGATTCCATTGCATTTAATTCTGTTAACAAACCCATCTGAGATGACTGATTTGTTGTAGTTACTCTTAAAAGAATAGTCATGTCTAATGATTATCACATCGCAATACACAACGCAGCATTTCAAAAACCACCCCATAGGAGCGAAAAATTAATTTCCGTGACTGAACAATCGTTCACTTCTTTCTGTAAGAGTGTGCACTTATGTAAGGTGTAACAAGCCATATGGCCATCTAAGATGGAGAGAGAGCATTGCACAATGTTTTGTATGCATTGACACATAGTTTGAATTTTTCTTCAGCCATGGCCTGCCATCACATAAAGGTAAAGTGCAAGCATGAGACCAGATAGCACAAATGATAACCAAAAAGATACAAAATGAAAGTTGCTTTTATGGAGAACCTTAAGAACACTTGACAAATAAGTTTTTACAATGCCGAGTAAAACCTATACTTTATTTGTCATTCATCCTAAATATATGGAAATAAATTTTCATTTGTCCCTTTGCAAACATTGGAAACCAATGACCATCAGAGCTACGCGAAATTGATGGAAAATGAGTAAACATGAACTACTACGTTTTCATGTCTAATGCAACTTTGCAACGAGGGCATGAGAAGGTTGACCAAAAATCACTACTCCCAACCTTTTTCTGCAACTGGGCACAATCTCTGATTGGAGAATCCTAAACCACATCACCGGAAAATGTTACCTGTAGTTGCACCACCCCTCTACCACAATCTAAACAGATGCAAAAGACCTATTTTCTCAGCAACCCATCACAGACATTTGTTAATTCCCATTTTTCCCTGTATTTTGAAGGGCTGGTAAACAATTTCCATTTCTTGGGAGACCTTTTATAAATATTAAGTTAAAAAAAATCTGTTTAACAAATTATAAGTAGTGAACTAAGTATTAACCTTTGATGCAAGAGTCATTTTAATCAATGGCAAATATTAGTAGAACTACTGGTGCACCCTTCGTGGGAAGGTACACCATAAAAGCCACCAGAGATACAGATGGCTGAGATGGCATACATGATACCAATTTCACAGTACTTGGCAACTACTTTTGTGCTCAAAGTATATTCATCAAGATGACTCAATATAAAAATGGTAGTTCGGGATGGATCATGTATGTAGCTAATGCAGAATTTTGCGCCCTAAATAGTCAATTCCATGAGTCTAACATGTATTTCAAACTTGGTCAAAAGAATATTTCAAACTCACCTGGGAAGTGCCTTGATGCTTATCAGGATGCCATTTTAAAGCTGATAACCGAAAACTACAAGGGAAATAAACAGATATCAGCAGTTTATATTGTGTGTACATTATCTTTTATGCTTGCTATAAGATCTTGCACTGAGCAGAAGCCCTGAAGCACTTACGCATTTTTAACATCTTCAATCTTTAATGGACCTGTTGGAGGCAGACCAAGAATAGTTCTATCGGAACTTGACCCCACACAACACGAGTCATCATCATCCTGCTCAACATCGCTTTCATTTTTCCACTTGTTTGTCCTATTTGAATGTTCCCTCCATTCAAACCCCGATGTGGAATGTTCAAAAGAACAACCGCTCCAATTGCTATAAGACCAAGTATAACACTTGTTACCGTATGTTGCATGGAATATTTGCTCAGGTTGGCTATCAAAGTCCTCAGAGAAACTTTCTCTTCTGATTTTTCCTGAACATATATAGTGGAGATCAGTGGAAAGAAAGTAAACAAAATGCTGATTTAAAGACAGTCGCACAAAGAAGTCCCAGATGGCAAAGCAAAACATCTTCATTGTCTGATCAGATTGTTTACCAGTCTGAGCAATGATCAAATAATAAATTGTGATGACTAAGAGTGCCAACTTTTAACTATAACAACTGCACTTTAAACGAAAAAGTATTGCTGGAAAAGTGTACTTTCTGACAAAAAAATCCATTAAACGGATACTTAGGTGAAATACATATATTTCCTGAGATTTGAAATGTTACAAATATAACTGAAAATAGGGTATATTATAGGAGTACAATCGTTGACAAGAAAAATAGGGGGCCAGCTTTTGGTATTAAAATTTATAATAAGAGGTTTCAGTCATTTATCGCTTTGCCATGTGTATATAATATTTCAAAATCTCACAGACTGTCAACTTGTCACTAGAACAAGAAACCCTAACAAGCATGGTGATAGGTTCAGTGAGAAAGTCTATACTAGAAGAAATAAATAAAGGAGGTAGTTATAACCTCCAATAGCTATAATAGGTTGTAACAGACCAGTATATATAGTCTGTGTTTAGGTTGTTGTTAGCAGTTTTTGGAGTTTGGAAGGAAAAGGGGTTTTGGGAGAGCTAAGGTCCTCTCGAAAGACCTTTGTACCTAGGAGGCATTGTTGTAATCCTTTCACATTGACAAAACCGTTCTGTTCTAAATAAAGTCTTTCAAGAACCTGTCTTGAAGGTTTTATGTAATTCTGGTGGTCCTATCAATTGGTATTCAGAGCTCCTTTCTTGGCCCTGTGGTGGCAGCGTAAGGGCTTATGGCTAAAACCAGAATAGATTCAAGATTAGAGACTTTGGAATGCTTGTTTCAAGAATTTGAGCGTGATAGAGAAAGATTGGACAAGTGCAAAATGAACGTTTGAAACGGATGGAAAATTTAATCAGTGGGTTGTCGGGTGTGGTGGAAAAGATAACATGCACTGCAGCGTCTGGGTCAAATCAGAATGTGTTTTCAGCCTGTACGTCAGGAGACAATGAGCAAGATTGGAAGATGCAGGGAGGTTCAAGGTGATGTAAACTACATTCCAATCTTTGCAGGGAAAGATGCATTTGGCTGGACTAATAGATTGAACAGATATTTCTGTTTGCAAGAAGTCTCTGAAATTGAAAGAATGCATGCAGTGATGGTGGCTTTGGAAGGAAAAGCTTTAATCCGATATCAATGGTGGGAATCTTGCAACCCATCTCCCACTTGGGAATCTTTCAATATAGCAATGGTGCAACGTTTCCAACCCAACATACTCGAGAATCATGTTGAGTTTTACTGGCGTTACATCAGATAGGGAATGTAGAGAAATATGTGGAACAATTCGAGCAATATGCAGGACTCCTAAAAGGAATGAATCAAGATTATCTAATTGGAATATTCTTGAATGGGTTAAAAGAAGAGATCAAGGCTGAGGTTAAGTTGTATGAACCTTCTAATTTGGCTGATATGATGAGGAAAGCTCAAATGGTTGAAGACAAAATTAAAATTGTATCCAAGGGAAAAGGAGCAGTAGAGACCAAGCCTGTTACGAGATCCTAATTAAATTGGATTACTAGGAGTTTTGCTCGAGAAGGACATCCTCAAATGGCTGTGAATGTTCTGGGACAAAACTAAGGTTCAAATCGCAGTAGGGGATCATCTTATAAGCGTCTGACAGATGAGGAGATGCAAGACAAAATCGAAAAAGGATTATGCTTCAGATGTAAGAAAAGTATAGTCCTAATCATATTTGTTGCAACAAGCAATTTCACATGCTTTTAATTACAGAAGAAGAGTAAGAAGAGTGGCTGGAAGAAGATACAAACATAGAGATTGAGGTGGAAGAGGCAAAAGCAATGCAGCTGTCCATGTTTACCTTAGCTGGCCTAACCACCAAGAAGTCATTGAAGGTTTGGGGACACATTGGTCAAGAACAAGTCATTGTGGTGATAGATTGTGGGGCTTCCCATAATTTTATTTCCAAAGAATTAATGGGAAGATGTGGGCTGGCATATGTTGATACTCCTACATATGTGGTGGAAGTAGGTGACGGTAGAAAACTAAAATGCCAAGGAAAATGCACAAAATTGATGTTGGAAATTCAAGGAATAAGGATTTGTCAAGAATTCTTTATCTTTGATATTGGAGGGGCAAATATTGTTCTTGGCCTATAATGGTTAGCTAGTTTGGGTGAAGGAAAGGCAGATTTTGGAAAGTTAGAAAGTTACAGCTCACTATTGGTGGAGAAGGTAATCAAATCACGTGTTAGGAGACCCAACTTTTCCTACCACAGCCATTTCATTCAAGAGATTGATCACTGAATTGAAAAAAGGAGATACAGGGTATTTGGTGGAGGCAGACAGGGGGATGGATATAGCAGAGGGTTCAACTACAGTGCCAATAGAAGTAGATTGGCTATTAACTTCATACACGGACGTTTTTCAAAGTTTAGAAGGCCTACCCCAAAAGAGGCAGCAAGATCACGCTATTCATCTTTGAGAAGGGGCTTCCGTTCCTAATTTGAGGCCTTACAAAATATTCTCACCAATAGAAGAATGAAATATAAAAGCTAATTAGTGAGATATTGATGGCTGGCATCATCCGAGCATCCATCCTTATTCTAGTCCTATAATTGTAGTGAGGAAAAAGAATGGTGGGTGGAGATTTTGTATAGATTACAAGGCTTTTAACAAGCTGACAATCACCAATAAATTTCCAATTCCAATAATTGAGGAGTTGTTAGATGAATTAGTAGGAACAACCATTTTCTCTATGTTGGAAGTCCCACATCGACTAGAGATAAGGCCAATTTATAATATATAAGTGAGGTGCAAACCTCACCTTACAAGCC